TCTGTGCTGTCCTGCTATTTTAGAAAACAATGGGTTGTCCAGCGTGTTTTGGCTCTGGTGTGGGTCTTCTTGACGTCCTTTTGAAATCTTTGTCTCCCTGTTTTGTCCTTTCAGCACCTTACTTAGCTACTTTGCAACTCGACAGCAGCCTGCTGACACCCCCAAAACACCAAACGGCACCTCCACCGTCCTCCAACCTGGAGCAAACCATGTCTGGGAACGCAGGATCAGTTTCCTCCACCTCGGCCTGTCTTGGGTCTACGGCTCCCTCGGCTGGCACCTCTTTCAGCTCCTCAGCTAACGGGACCAGTGGTCTCCCGGTGGGCACCAGTACCGTCCCAGGCTCTTCAGTGCCCCAGCTCCTGGCCTCCTCCTCTTCTTCTTCCTCCTCCTCCTCCTCTTCATTGGCATCCAGTATTAGCCAGACAAGCACTACCTCCACTTCAGGGTTCAGCGGAGGCCTACCTCAAGGTCCAAACCCAATAGCTGGGGCAATTCCCTCGGAGAGAGCCCAAGGAAGCACAGTCCCCGGAGGAGACGCTGAGGCAGGCCAAATCTCATCGCAGCAACTGCCAGAAGGGCAGGAAAAGTAAGTCTACTATTCTCAAGTTTGGGCCCTTTTTTGAGGCTGGAGCGTTTATCCCGTCTTTTCTTCCACTGGACCAACTTCATAAGCGTTGGGATCTCTTTGCCTGAACGGCTGGTTTGGGAAGTCTGGAACCTTCTGGAGTTGGGGGGGGGGGGTGTCTCCAAACTCGGCAACTTTAAGCAGTAATAATAATAATAATAGTAAAGTTGGAAGGGACCTTGGAGGTCATCTAGTTCAACCCCCTGCTCAGGCAGGAAACCCTATACCATTTCGGACAAATGGTTGTCCGGTCTCTTCTTAAAAACTTCCAGTGTTGGAGCATTCACCGCTTCTGGAGGCAGGTTGTTCCACGGGTTAATTGTTCTAACTGTCAGGAAGTTTCTCCTTAGTTCTAGGTTGCTTCTCTCCTTGATTAGTTTCCATTCTTGTTGCTTCTTGTCCTGCCTTCAGGCGCTTTGGAGAATAGCTTGACTCCCTCTTCTTTGGGGCAGCCCCTGAGATATGGGAACGCTGCTATCGTGTCCCCCATCGTCCTTCTCTTCCTTAAACTAGACATACCCAATTCCAGCAACCGTTCCTTATCTGTTTTAGCCTCCAGTCCCCTGATCATCTTTGTTGCTCTTCTCTGCACTCTTTCCAGAGTCTCAGCCTCTTTTTTACATCGTGGTGACCAAAACTGGATGCAGGATTCCAAGTGTGGCCTTACCAAGGCCTTGTAAAGTGGTATTAATACTTCACGTGATCTTGATTCTATCCCTCTGTTAATGCAGCCTAGCACTGTGGTGGGATTCAGCCGGCTCGCACCACTTCGGCAGAACCGGTAGCTAATTTTTTTGTTGCCCAGGCCCAGAACGAACTTCCGAAAGGCGGCATTTACGCAGAGAATCGGTTGTTCCCCTATTTGAATCCCACCACTGACTTTAAGACTTGTGGACTTCAACTCCCAGAATTCCCCAGCCAGCCAACTTCTAGGAGTCCACAGGTCTTACAAGTCCCCAAGGCCGGACATCCCTATTGTAGAGGAAGACTTAATATATACTGGTATATAATGGTACATGGAATTAGTTTTTGGTAGAGAGTTTGAACCTCAGAGAAATAAAACTAGCTGGATATATGTGTTTTTTTTGGGGGGGGGGAGGAAATCAGCCACATACTGCCCCCTGCTGGTCATCAATTGTAATAGCACAAACTTGGTTACTGCCCCCCCCCCCCCCGGTCAAAGTTAATTACTGGATAATTTTATAATGCAGAGACAAAAGCTTATTAACTTCAGCAAGGGTGCTTAATCTTTGTGTGGGATAATAGCCCGTGCCCTATTTTCAGTCCAGGTTTAGGGATATGTCAAGATAATCCTTAATACCAAGATGATACGTTCTTAATTTTATTTTTTGAAATTGAAGCTCAGTTGTCTTGTGCCCCTCCCCACCTTCCTCTTCTTGACGTTTGTACTATTTGGATCCAAAATGGACAATGAAGCTTTGGATCTGGCACAGGTTGCTTAACAGTTGCTTATAAAGGAGATACACTTTTTTCACTGGATTCAAATGGTAAATATTATGAAGGTTCAAAAAAGTAGGCATTTTGGATTATGGAGAGAGCAACAGGGGAGCGATCTGTGATCTCAACCTGTCAGCACCTCCATAACACTTCCTGAACTTGTGTATTTCCCATACCTGGTCCTGTGAGAGCCCAAGAAAAAAAATGTATTTCCTTTAAGGAGCTAACAGCAGAGGAATCCTTAAGCACATGGGTTGTAACTTAATAGGGAAAAAAAACCACGATGAATTTTTAAATTGTACGAGGTGGTAGAATAGCAGAGATGGAAGGGACCTTGGAGGTGCTCTAGCCCAACCCCCTGTTTGAGCAGGAGACCCTATACCATTCCGCACAAATGGCTGTTCAGTTTCTTCTTGAAAACCTCCAGTGTTGGAACACCCACAATTTCTAGAGGCAGGTCGACTAATTGTTTTTAACTGTCAGGAAATTTCTCCTTAGTTCTAGATTGCTTCTGCCCTTGATTCGTTTCCATCTGTTGCTTCTTGTCCTACCTTCAGGTGCTTTGGGGAAAAAAGTTTACTCTCTCTTCTTTTTGGCAGCCCCTCCGATATTGGAAACACTGCTCTCATGTCACCGTGCACCCGAGGGGTGTGGGTGTCAAATGCACCATCCGTTTGAAGTCCCTTCGTGCTCACAAGAGACCTCAGCCCAGCCCACCTTGAATTCCGTTGACTCTTATCTACCACCAATTTGCTTTGACCGTTAGTAGCTCAGATTCTTGTAGAGACCATTAGCCTACAATAAACCTATATATTCATTTGTACCGCCTGGACTCCTGATTTCCCGCACTTGACATAAATCTTTTTGTTTGTTTGTTTGTTTTTGGTAGCTCTGCAGAGAGGGAGAGGATAGGAATTCCCACGGAACCCGAGTCTGCGGACAGCCATGTCTACCCACCGGCTGTGGTCATCTACATGGTGGATCCCTTCACCTACACCGCAGAAGAGGAGTCTTCTTCTGTCAGCTTCTGGCTTTTGAGCTTGATGCGCTGTTACACAGAAATGTTGGACAACCTGCCTGAAAACATGAGGAGTTCTTTCATTCTTCAGGTGGGTTTGCCTTGAGACAGGCAGGTGTCTTTTGGGTTGGGCGGAAGAGGAACTGACGCTGCTACCGAAGATCGGCATTTGCACCGATATAAGAGAATATTTGCAGCTCAAGGTTGCATTATGGGGTCCTTGGTGCTCTGCGAGCTTGGTAGTGGCNTCTCTGTGTGTAATGTCCCCTTTTTGTAGCGGCCGAGTCCCATTCAGCTGTACTCCCCTCCATTTATCCTGGCACCTATCAAGGACAAACAGACGGAGCTCGGGGAGACCTTTGGCGAAGCCAGCCAGAAGTATAATGTGCTCTTTGTGGGGTATTGCCTCTCTCACGATCAACGTTGGCTTCTGGCCTCCTGCACCGACCTGCACGGGGACTTGTTGGAAACCTGCATTGTCAACATCGATTTGCCAAACAGGTAGGCTATAAAAAAGAAAGAGAAAACAACCCAGCTGCAAACTTTGGAGCAGGCCATCCTACTGGACTTCCTGGTCTTAAATACATTGTTTAAATACATTGAGTGCACGCTTATAACCCAGCAGACGCTCGTTTCCCACTCAGAAGACTGAGAATTCAGTCCTAAGAGATGTTTCTCTATCAGGATGCAAAGAGGAAATTATCTGCTGCGAACTCGGCATAGGTGTCAGGAAGGGCATCCGGCCAATAAACGCTCAGCTCCATTCATTCGCCTTGACTCCACCCCAAATAGAGGGATTACAGGTGGTAAAAAGAAAACAACAACAACAAATACAACAAGTTCTTACTACCCTCTTTTCCCTCCAGATCACGGAGGTGCAAGGTGTCAGCACGTAAAATTGGCTTGCAGAAGCTTTGGGAATGGTGCATCGGGCTCATCCAGATGACGTCACTTCCCTGGAGAGTCGTGATTGGGCGCCTTGGACGGCTTGGCCACGGGGAGCTGAAAGGTACCTGGGCGACACGGCCTGTCCCAGTTGGTTGACAATAGGCACTTGAGGCGCTGTCAGGATGGATTGTTATTTATTTTATTCGCATTATTAAAGTTTTACCCATAGATATAAAATTTTAAATGTATAAAAGCCTAAATTAGGCGGTGCTTGCCCAGAAGGATGTAAGATCAATTGCATTCTGTTGTGCGTCATAAGGCCCTCCAGAGTACATTTGGCAGGGGGCAGGTGTACACGTGTGTGTGTGTCTCCTCTCACAGTAGCCATATGATTGTTGGTAAGTTATTTTGGAATAACAATCCTGGGACAGAACAGCCCTGGACCACCATCTGTTCACCTATATCAGTGTTCCCCAACCTTTGCAACTTGGTGGCTTGTTGGGGCGGGGAGAGGAACTGGTCGACACGAGTGGCGGTCCAGCACACATGCCCATGTGCGCGCAGTTCAACTTGCGTGAGCAGTAGGCGTGAGCACACCCACATGTGCAGCTTGACTTGTGTAAGCTGAGCTGTGCTCGCGTGCGTGCACGCTGGCCCACCGCTCACGGGGCCTGGTTCCAAATAAGCCGTGGGCCGGTCGTTGGGAACCCCTGATCTACCTAACAGAAAGCATAAGCTATGATTTCCTTCAAACCTGGCTGTGCGATAACCCACCCTCCCCTGCTTCCATTAGGTAGGTAGCAGGTTAACCCATCACAGCCCAGCTGTTTTTGCCTTTCCCTTTAGCTGCATGATCTCTACCAGAAGAGTGTCTGGTTTTGTATTCTTAGGATTCCCATTGACCTGGAACTGCCAATCTGGACTATCCTTTTTAAAGCACGTTAGCAAAATAATAGAAACTGTCTCGGTTTGGAGCCAGGCTGTCTAAAAAGTGACGTGGCAATGTCATCCTGGTAATTAGAATGGAAAACCCTGCAAGGCTGTGTGCGTGTGTGTGTTTGTGCATGTGTGTGTGACACAAAGATTAGGCCGTTTCATCCTTCTACCTTTACTAATCCCCTCAGAAGCAAGGGAGCTGAGATGGCTTATTTCTTGTAATGTTCGGCGGCTGCGGTGTTTTTATATTTGAGTCTTCGCAGGCTGAAGGTTTAGAACAGCCGTCCCCAACTTTTGCGGCTTGGTGGCCTGGCTGGTGGGGGGAGAAGGGAACTGGGCCACGCAAGCGGTGGGCTGGTGCGCAGGTGTGCAAGCGCCCACCGGCCCACCGCTTGCTCAAGTTGAGCTGCACCCACGGGCGCTCCAGCTAGCCACTCGCACGGCCCGATCCCAAATAGGCCACGGCCTGGTAGCGGGCCACAACCCCAGTGATTGGAGACCCCCTAGTTTAAAATAAGTGGCTTGTCTACGACAGGCTTGTCCAGCAGGGGGGTTGGACTAGAAGACCTCCAAGGTCCCTTCCAACTGTATTATTCTATTCTATTCTCCTCCAACTCGTGGCAAGCCAAAAGGTTGGGACACTCCTGCTTTATATATTTGGGAGGCCTGCGTGAAATGAGAGGAAAGGCAGAAATCAGAGATGCGTGTAACGCTTTAGATCTGAGCCGCTCTGCTTTGATCGCTTTCAGAGTGTTTCAAGTGTGTTAAAAGAGCTTCAAGGCACAAAGGAGGACATAATAACTGGTTGCTAAAACAACTGCTAAACAGCTAGGAGGCAGGGCTGTTAGATAACTTCAAGGGTCAATGAATCCTGGCATTTCCCCCTGGTGATTAAGGGGTTTAGCAACATGTATAAAGGAAGCATCTTATTAGCCTCTGACCAGAGAGAGTCAAAATAGAGAAAAGGTAGAGCAGAGATGCAAAAGAGAGACAGTAAAGGATGTAAAGAGAAGGGCTGGAGAAATAAGATCTTAAAGTCTATGGAGAGTCTCCATCATCCAGGTCATGGTTGTCCCAGAGGTGCTTTTTCAGAAGAGGCAACTGGACTTTCTTGTTTTTCTTTGAAGACGTTTCGCTTCTCATCCGAGAAGCTTCTTCAGTTCAGTCAGATGATGGATGAGAAGTGAAATTAAACTTGAATTGAATTGAATTGAAATGTCTTCAAGAAAAACCCAAAGCCCAGCTGCCTTTTGAAAAAGCACCTTTGGGACTTAAAGATACGAGGATGGTGAAAACGATGGAAACAGGATGTGATGATAAAACTAACTGAATGATAAAACTAAATGATAACATGGAACCCTGTCAGGAATGGTCCTCCAGGATGTCCTTCCCCGAGAAGAGATGGGCTAAAAACTTGTTCTACTTTGACTTCTGCTTGGGGGAAGCTTCTTTAGACGACAGCCTTTATTTCAGGGGTCCCCAACCCCCAGTCTGTGGACCGGTACCGGCCCGCGGCATGCCAGCAACCGGTCCGCACAAACAAGCAAAGCCCCATCCGTGGGATGCAGGCAGCACACAAAACCACGCACCCTCCGGTCCGCGGAAAAACCTCTCTCCCCGGAACCGGTCCCCAGTGCCCCAAAGGTTGGGGACCTCTGTTCTATTTCTTCCCTCTCCTTCTCTTTGTTTTTCAGACTGGAGCATCCTGCTCGGAGAGTGCTCCCTGCAGACAATCAGCAAGCAGTTGAAGGAGGTGTGTCGGATGTGTAGCATCTCCTCGGCAGATTCTCCCTCCATCCTTAGCGCTTGCTTGGTTGCCATGGAGCCACAGGGTTCATTTGTGGTGATGCCAGGTAATTACGCACGGCTCGGGGCGACAATGGGCTTCGTGGGACCCGACATCTTCCCTTTGCTGTCTCTCTTTCCCCCCCCCTCTCATTTGGCTTGGAAAAGGGGCCTTTCCATCTTGTCCAGGGACTGTACCAAATGCTCAACCTCTGGGAAGAAAAATAGAATGGTGTGTGTGTGTGTTGGAGAGTTATTATTTCTTTATTTAGCATGTGGCAAGAGACTTCTAAATGCAATAGGGGCAAATATCTGTAGCTCGGGGCTAGCACGAGGGTGAAGGCTCGTTCTCGGAGCTTGTGCGTTGGTTTCTTTTCTTTTTCTTTTTTTTTTTCCAAAATTTTATTTATAATACAATTAAAAAAAAAACATTGGATATAACGTGACATTCCAGTATAGACATTCTTATCAAATTATTCCACGTTTTACAATCGATTCTTCATCTCTGAATATACATCTAAATTTTATATACAATACTTATTCTAAAATTACATATATTTCTATCTTAACGCTAGCCTATAATCCCAACCATCCTCCTCGAATCCCTCCAGCGGTAAAATTTATCCCAGGTTTTGAAATAAACTGATCTACATTTGTCTTTCAATACCATTGTGAGCCTGTCCATTTCCGCTTGTGCGCTGGTTTCTGAACGTTTTGTTAACCTCTTCAGCAGAGTTTAAACGTTACCTAGCCTGGTAACGAAACGGTCCGAAGCTCGGAGAATGAACCTTCACGCTCAGACCTCTTTATGCTAAGCCCCTTAGAAGGGCTGTTTTCCTGAGGTCTTCTCATAGGGATGTGTTTTAAGCCAGGAGATCGCAAGGATTATCTGGCTGCCGTTGGGGAAGAATTAGCCGACTCTATGTCAGGGTCCCCAACCCCCGGGTACCGGTCCACAGCGTGCCAGCAACAGGTCTGCACAAACGAGCAAAGCCCCCATCCGCGGGATGCAGGCAGCACACAAAACCACGCACTCTCCAGTCCACGGAAAAACCTCTCTCCACGGAAGCGGTGGGACCTCTGCTTTAGAGGGTGTTGTGAGTCCACTTCTTCCTTTTCTCTCTTGAAAGATGCTGTCACCATGGGGTCTGTCTTCGGCCGCAGCACTGCCCTTAACCTGCAGTCCTCACAGCTGAATACGCCACAGGATGCCTCCTGTACTCACATCCTGGTTTTCCCAACTTCGGCAACCATCCAAGTCGCGCCTGCAAATTATCCCAATGAAGATGGATTCAGCCCCAATAATGGTAAGTCAGTTGCTGCTGGGGAGGAAGGAGGAGAGGGGGGGGGAGAAGATTCCCCTTTGGTGCACCAATCAGAAAGGTTCAGCTATAAGTCCTAGGTGAGTCCCACCACCCCACTTTAAAACAATACGATAGCCATCTTCCAGGGCTTGAGGGTCTGTCCCAGAGAAGAGGGGACTGACTGATTCTCCGAAGAATAAGCTGGACAACTGTTTGACCAAGATGGTATAAAGTCTCCTGGTCTTGAGCATGGGGTTGGACTAGAAGACCTCCAAGGTCCCTTCCAGGCCTATGATTCTCTATTCTGATCTGGCTTTCTGGTTGAATGGAAGCTGCCTTCCCATCTTAGTAGGCTTGAGAAACAGAATGATACAAATGGTGCCCTGGAGGTTTTGAAGAAGAGACTGGACAACCACGTGTCTGAAATGGTATAGGGTTTCCTGCCTGAGCAGGGGGTTGGACTAGAAGACCTCCAAGGTGTCCCTTCCAGCTCTGCTATTCTGTTAAACGGAGGCGTTGAAACTTGTTTTCTTTCCCTGCCACGAAGCAGTTCGTATTCTTTTCTTCTTGCTTCTTTCCCTGTGGTTAGCGTAAACCGCAGATCGCTTAAATTGAGCCCGATTAGCTCAGTGTTTGCAGAGCTTAGACTCCAACAGCAGGTGGGAGAACCAAAGAGGGATGATGCGAAGGCAGAAAAAAACAAAAAAACAACTGAAGTCACCGCCAAGGATTTAAAATGGAATTCCAAATCCTTTTGCCAAGTAGATGTGTATTTATGTACATTTTGCTGAAGGGCTCCTTGGCATTTGAAATTGGTCTGTTTTTTTTGGGGGGGGGAAGGATTTCCAATAAAGGATAGCAATATTTAAGGTTGGTGAAATCTTAAGTTGGTGAAGTTATGACTTGCGGTCTTCCCAGCCTTCCTTTGAGAAAGCTTTATCGATGAGCTAGATATGTCTAATATATCTAATATAGATAAACGCTAGAGATTGTCTTTTGTCAAGATTATGCAGGTGGGTCTCGACCTACGACAGTTGCTTAACAATCATTCAAAGTTATGACAGACCTCCCCAGAAAACTTGCAACCAGCTTTCTTTCTTTCTTTCTTTCTTTCTTTCTTTCTTTCTTTCTTTCTTTCTTTCTTTCTTTCTTTCTTTCTTTCTTTCTTTCTTTCTTTCTTTCTTTCTTTCTTTCTTTCTTTCTTCTTTCTTTCTTTCTTTCTTTCTTCCTTCCTTCCTTCCTTCCTTCCTTCCTTCCTTCCTTCCTTCCTTCCTTCCTTCTTTCCCTCCTCTCTCCCTCCTTCCCTCCCTTTCCCTTTGATCTTTTGATGGAAGTCGGTGGGCCTCACCAAGTCCACCTCCTCTTAGTCCTTTCGTGCTGCTGTCCCTTCTTGGCCCCAAATCCCCTCCTGAAGTTTGGGCTGACAAATATTTAACCTGCATTAACTTGGGCCCTTAGGGCTTTGCACATTAATTGGAGTAATGTCCAACGGCTTGTGTTTTCCAAAAGAGTGTTAGATTTAATTTTCTCAACTCATTTTTCTGTGTTTAATTATTAAAGAGAGAGAGAGAGAGAGAGAGAGAGAGAGAGAGAGAGAGAGAGAGAGAGAGAGAGAGAAATTGGAGAGAGAGAAATAGGAGAGAAATAGAAAATTAGAAAAAGAAGATGGGTGAGGTGGATATAGAGAAGATAGATTGGAGAGAAAGACAGAGAGAGGGAGATGAGAGAGACAGGAATGATGGACAGATGGGGAGAAAAAAAAGAAAGAGAGATGAGACAGACAGGAGAGATGGACAGATAGGGGAGAAAGATGAGACAGGAGAGATAGGAAAGAAACACACACACACACACACACACACACAGATGAGACACAGAGATGGACAGATAGGAGAGAGAGACAGAAGGAGAAAAAGAAAGAGGTGAGAGAGATAGGAAAGATGGACAGATAGGGAGAGAGAGAAACATGAGACAGAGAGAAAGAGAGAGAGATGAGACAGGAGAGATGGACAGATAGGAGACAGAGAGGGAGAGAGAGAGAGAGAAAACCACATGTAAGCTAATAATACTGAAGCCTTCTTTTGCTCTTCTTTCCTCTTTGAGATGACATGTTTGACCTCCCATTCCCGGATGACATGGACAACGACATTGGCATCCTGATGACTGGGAATCTTCACTCATCTCCAAACTCTTCTCCTGTCCCTTCTCCTGGTTCTCCTGGAATTGGAGGAGGACCGTCCTTTCAGCACAGCCGGGTAAGTACCCCAAACGTCCCTGCGAGTCTGGCAGATTTAGGTTCCAGCTCCTGAAAATCGGATCTCCCCCCCCCCGCCATGTTTTGTGGGGAAGGGAGCAGATTTTGACTTTGGGGATAGTGGTGGAGGTTGCACTCCCAAGTCACGGAGAAAATAGCGGGGGGAGAAAATCCGCTTTATAAGAACTGCTGTTTTTTTTGAGGAAAAAAATAAACTTCTAGCTTGGATTGTTGAGCGCAGTGGGGGTTTTTTTCTCCCCTTGTTCCTGCGCCCTGGCCATTAAGCGAATCGCCGGCAGTTGTTTAAGTGAATCATGTGGGTCGTTAAGTGAATCTTGACTTAGCGCAAGCCAGCTGGGAAGGTTACAAATGGCGATCACGCAACCCCGGGACGGTGCAGCCGTCACAAATACAGGCCAGGGGCCCAATGCCCGGATTTTGATCACGTCATCGGGATTCTGCATGTGAAAACGGGACATAACTTGGAACGGTCCCTAAACAAATGACTGTTAAGTCAAGGACTACCTTTAAATTGTAGTTATTTCCACTTTAGTCCTGGCCACTCTTGACGATTGCGGTTAACGTTGGATGGTTATTCTGCAGGATTCTAGTTTCTGCTGTAATGAGATGAGTAATCTGCGAGTCGGTAACTGACGGAGGCCTCTCCTGAGCAAATGCCTTCAGAGTAACCAGTTTAGCCATTAACCCGAGACTGGTAATTGAGGTGTAATTTTTGTTCTTACCAAAGTAGCAGCCTGTGATCTTTTTCCCCCGGGGTCAAGGCAGGGCCTCCCTTCCTCCCCTGGATTTTGTAATTGATTGCTCCCGGTTCGCAAGCAAGGGTTGCCCTCGCTGGCACGCTGGGGTGTGCTGAAGCAGGCGGGCTGCTTTTGATGCTCTCCGGGCTGCCAAGTCGGTCACTGCTGATCACATGAAGAAAGGAAATCAGACCAAGTGGAGATCTCTTCAAGAGTTTCCCAAGTGGGGTCCTGGATGCTCTCTGGGCTTGGCGGTTTTCTTGTAGACCTTTCATTACCCAACTAGATAACGTCATCAGGGCTCAGAGCAGGAACTCATGATGTCGCCTAGTTTGATGAATCCTCTGCAGGAAAATCACCAATCTCAGTGAGCACTAAGGATCCCACTCTCCTCCTCCTCCTCCTCTCCTCCTCCTCCTCCTCCTCCTCCTCCTCCTCCTCCTCCTCCCTTAGCACTGGTGCTGTTGCCTAGATGTGTCATGAAACATCTGCAAGAAAACCTCCAAACTCAGAGAGCACCAAGGACCCCACTCTCCTCCTCCTCCTCCTGCGCACTGATGCTGTTGCCTAGATGTGTCCATAATTAGTATACTAATTAATGATATATTTCTTTGATCTTCCCTTCTCCCATTTACATTCTCTTTCTTCAACCTTAAACAAAATATAATTCTTAGTATTTTCAATATAGAAATGATTAGATATAGGCATTTTTTTTATATTCGATATGAGATACGTCGTGCGCATTCACATTTTCCTCCTAGACAAATGAAAAAAACTGGTTCTTGACTTGTTGTCCTGTGGACTTCAGATTAAAAACAAACAAACAAACAAACCACTGCAGTACGAAAGAGAGCAGGGTAACTTGCACAGTTGGTATAACTTGTAAGGCTTCCACCCTGGATTGGCTGGATGCCAGAAGCTTTTTGCACCTTGAACAGAGTTCAGGCCGGGCCCCCCTTAGATGTTGGGAGCAATTGCCTGCCCTCGGTTATGGCTGAGGAATTCTGGGAGTTGAAGTCCACAAGTCTTAAAAGGGCCAAGTTTGAAGACCCCCTGCTCTACAGGGTGTCTCAAGTTGGGTGAGAATCGGGTCACGAGGAACCCCACGGATACTTGCACGCTCCAGGCACTGACCGGCCTTGCCCTTCTCACCTTGATTTTTCAGAGCCAAGGGGAGCGTCTCCTTTCCCGGGAAGCCCCCGAAGAACTGAAGCAGCAGCCCCTCGCCCTGGGCTACTTCGTTTCCACTGCCAAAGCCGGGAATCTTCCTCAGTGGTTCTGGTCCTCTTGTCCTCAAGCCCAGAAACAGTGTCCCCTCTTTCTCAAGGTTGGTTTTACGGTCACTTGGGGCGGGACCCCATGGGAAGCCGCCCTAGTGTGGGGGCGGTCAAAGAAGGATGTTGAGTCGCTCAACCCCACGATCCTGTCTTCTGCTTCCTGATAGGCCTCACTACATCATCACATCTCTGTAGCACAGACGGATGAACTCCTTCCTGCCCGGACTTCCCAGAGGGTTCCCCATCCCTTGGACTCCAAAACCACATCAGATGTCCTAAGGTAATGGCTCTTCTGGTTCTGTGTTAGTCACAACGCAAAGGTTGGTCTTGGGCCAGCCTTCTGCTGTGGGACATCTATCCACATTTTGTCGATTGCTTTGAAAAATCCTGGGTTTGACTTTGGTCGTTCCCTTGAAGATGGCTTCATGACCAAACCTAGGTGACATCTTCAGCGCCACCCCCTAGCACGGATGATCTTGCCTAGTTTGGTCATGAAACGTCTGCCAGGAACCCACCAAGTTCAGAGAGCATCGAAGACTTAAGAAGATTCAGAGCTGGTTAAGTTTGGAGAAGAGACTAAGTGGGTTATTGGTTGGGCTAGGAAGTTGTTGCTAATGTAACAGAGCAATTGTGTTTGTGTAGCCATCAGGAGTTGAAGCAGCGTGGTGTAGCCCTTTGAATTGGGTTGTTTTCTTGCAAACTACGTTACCCAAACTAGGTAACATCAGTGCTAGTGGGCTTGCTGTGGTATATAAACAGAGAACAAACCGCACTGATGATGTTACCTAGTTTGGTAATGAAACGTCTGCAAGAAAACCACCAAGCTCAGAGAGCACCAAGGACCCCACAGTCGTCGTCGTCGTCGTCGTCGTCGTCGTCGTCGTCGTCCTCCTCCTCCTCCTCCTCCTCCTCCACCACCACCACCACCACCACCACCATCACCACCACCACCACCACCACCACCACCACGTCTGAAGGCAAAGCTGTTCCACTGGTTAATTGTCCTCACTGTCAGGAAGTTTCTCCTTAATTCCAGGTTGCTTCTCTCCTTGATCAGCTGCCAACCATTGTTTCTCGTCCTTCCCTCTGGTGCTTTGGTGAACAACCTGACCCCCTCTTCCTTGTGGCAGCCCCTCAGATACTGGAATGCTGCTATCATGTCTCCCCTATTTCTTCTTTTCTTTAGACTGGCCAAACCCAAGTCCCGCAGCCGTTCTTCGTATGTTTTAGCCTCCAGGCCTTTGATCATCTTAGTTGCTTGAACCTCGGGATCCGAGAAGGTCCCTCCAGCAGCTTTTTTCACACACACACACCCCTCACCTCCTTTTCTCTTCTCTCTCTCGCTCTAGGTTTGTCCTGGAACAATACAACGCCTTGTCATGGCTGACTTGCAACCCAGCGACCCAGGATCGGGGCTCTTGCCTTCCTGTTCACTTTGTGGTGCTCACTCAGCTCTACAACGCCCTCATGAACATCCTTTAATCGCAGGGAGCGTTAATCGGAGCTCCCCTCTCCACTCGAAGAATCCGCCACGGCCTGCACGAGTTCAGGTCCCTGACGCGTCTGAAGGAGGCCTGAGCGGCGCTCCCAGTTTTTCTCAACAAGCAGGAGAATCCTCTCCCGCGGGATCGGAGTCCACCAACACGGGACACCCTCATCTGCCTCTCTGACCAGGGTTTCAGGCAGCCGATGTATTACAACTTTGAGGCAGTGTTAATTCGCCGGCTGAACCTTACAGAACTACGGAGCGCGGCGAAAACCATAACGTCTTTCATTTCATTTTTCTTTCTTTATCTCTCTCTCTCTCTCTCTTTTTTTTCCCCCCCTTTCCTTTTTCTGTGCACGGATCTCTGCCGAAGAAAAGCAAAATATTGTCGCGACCAGTCGCGGTGACCCGAAGCCTCTGCCGTTTTCCTTGGAAAAAACGTCGCCATCCATGTCTGGCGTCTGCTAGTCGAAAAATAGATCAGATTTTCTTTCTTTCTTTTTTCTTTTTCCTTTGTGGTGTACCTGGAACTCCTTGACAGACTGGATTGGATTGAATGAATGTGGGGGGGGGATACTTTTTTTTTGGCGCCCCCCCTCCCCCATCCATGTAGATACGAATCGTCTGGAGATAATGCTGACGTTTGTCCGGTTTATTGTTTTATTTTAATTTATTTATAGGGGCTATTAAATTATAGAGGAGCAGGTACAGCACGCGATCCGACTCCCATCTCACCGAGAAGTGGGGTTATTATTATTTTTTTCCCCGGTATACCTCTCGCTTAGAAATTGGGGTGGGGGACACACACGGGGCGTTTCCGGTGGGGATGGGACAGAGTAATTCGAACGAGTCACCGAAGAAGAACTCAAGAGTCAAAATATTTTTTTTTAGGGTGGACCCATTGAATTAAGGAAGCCTGCCGAGAAATCCTAAGTCAATCAGATAACCGACATCCCGGGCGAAATAGCCCAAACCAGTGGAAAAAAATACGAAACACACACGAAAACAGCCTTCTCCAATCTGACAGCATCCAGATGTGCTGGGAATCAGCATCTCATCAGCCGGAGCCATCCGTAGCGAGGATCGTTTGGGGGCGAGGGGCTGGGAATCATGGGTGGTGTAGTTCAATGTAGCTGGAAGGGACATCACTGGCTGCTTCAAAGTGTGTGGAAACCGCCCCAAAAGAGAGGAGGGGGGTGGAAATGGACAGGAAAGTTTAAGGAGGCGTTTAGAACAGAATAATAATAGGGTTGAAAGGGACCTTGGAGGTCATCTAGTCCAACCCCCTGCTCAGGCAAGGGGACGCTATTTTATTCCGGACGAATGACTGTCCAGACTCTTCTTAAAAACCTCCAATTGGATCAATGTGGATTTTTTTTTTTACTCCCAGCATCCCATCTGCGTATCCGCACTCAGATGTGCCCAAATTTTGATACGATGATGTGCATATCCTCCACTCCGCCCCTTCCAAGTCTCCGTGAGAAATATTTTGGAGAATTCTTTTTTTTTTTTTTTTTTAAAGCGACTTTATTGCATTAATATGGAAAATAAAAGGACACCAAGTGGGCGTGGTGGGGAAGGAAGCCTAAGCTTGACTTAGTTAAAACGTCGGCACCGGGATATGGTGGTTTGTTTGTTTGTTTTAAAAAAAGAAAAGCTTAAAGCCATTAAATTGTTTGACTCGGAGGTCTCCAAACTCGACAACTTTTAAGGCTTGTGGGTTTCAACTCCCATGCTGGCTGAGGAATTCTGGGAGTTGAAGTCCACAAGCCTTAAAGTTGCCCAGGTGGGACACCCCTGGTTTGAACGACTCCTCGGATTGGAGGCATCTAAGGGGGCGTTCCCATTTCTAGCGGTGACAGGCCAAGGCTGCTTTGAAGGGGGAAAGGGGGCGGGACTTGGTCGTCACGGCCACCCTTAATGGATCCTTTACCATTTTTGAAGTTCTTCCAAGCATCTCTCTTCTTCTGATTAAATGAAAAAAAGGAAAAAAAAATATGAAAATTTCTATGAATTTAAATATTTTTCTCGAAACGATGATGTAATGTTTAAAATCAGATTTATTATTATTATTATTAATATTATTATTATTATTATTAAAAAAAAGTAATCCCATGCAAGGTGGGAAAGGATCGGTCGGAAGAAGACCTTGTAAAATGGATCGCTCTTATTATTCTCTACTCCAGGCTGCCCACCTGGAGGAGTTTTTTGCAATGTATAGGAGGGGGGGGGGGAAATTTCAGATATATCGAAAACCATTTGTATCTAATGTATACAGTGTAAAATGGATTTTAAAAAAATATTACATTACTATTTTTTCTTATTCGGAAAGGAAAATTCTCAAGGCCTTTTGAAGAGCATTAAAAGATGAAGATTGTAAACTTGTATACAAAAAAAAACACCATTCTTGGTGAGGAAAACTATGTAAAGTTATCTTTTAACACTTTGGGGTTATTTGTTCCCAAGATTCACCTGAATTTTGGATTATAGTTTGGATTATAGGCTTCTTTTTAACGGGCTGTTTTTTTTTATTAAGGGGTGACTTCTCTCCCCCTCCCCCACCCCCAGAGATCCAATTCTAATGCAAAAATTTAAAAAAAACAACCCTCAATCCATAAATATGGGGAAGGGGTTAATAAGGAGTAGTTTTCATCTGATGTTGTTTTTATTTAATTTTTTTAAGTTAAAGAGAAACTGGTAACCTATTTATACATTTTTTGTGCAAAAATAAATGAATGGCAATAGATTTTAAAAAGAAAAAAAAATCTTATGTACCTTCAGTGTGAAAATCTGTATATTTCCCTTTAAATATGCATTATTTTACTTGTGGGTTTTTTACTGAATTAATCTGAAATGTACAAGCCCTGGATTTCCTACAGAGTGAAAAAATTATTTTATTTTTTTTAATTTCTAATTTTAGAAATCATACGGAAAATCAGAACGAGGACAGTTTGAGCAAAAAGGGGGGCGGGTGGGTTGGGGTGAGCGCACGGTCGTCCAGCATGCTTGTAATGTATATTTCCGAACCTTTTTTTAAATGTAAAGGCTGTACATTTCTTGGGAGAGTTTGATTTTCTTTTCCTTAAGCATTTTGCAGTGACCCTCTTTTATATATAGCCAATTTGAAACAAAACAAAACAAAACAGACAAAAGAACTGTGTGAAGTTCATTTTAAACCTTAACAGTATATCGCTGGTACAATACACTTAAAATAAATAAATAAAAAAGAGAGACTTTGATAAAAAGAAGAACCAATAATAATTAAAAAAAAAATCTCCATTTTAAATGTCATTCATATATACCTTGTGGATGAGAGCTATATACTTTTACACACTTTTTTAGATGAATAAATTATTGAATTACTGAAACTTGTGTGGGTTTCCAGCTTAGTTGACTATAGTCTCAATCAATGTGACATCATCAGCAGATGCGTTGATGGAGAGACAATAGATTTTGTTCTTACTGCTTGGGACATGAGGACAAATTCTAGATTTGGCAACTTCCGTTTAGATCATGGAGGACATGGAATCGTAGACCTAGAAGGACCTTTGAGGTCTTCTAGTCGAGCCCTCTGCTAAGGCAGCTGATCTTATACCACCCAGTGATGGAGTACCCACCGCTTCTGGAAGCAAGCTGTTCCATTGATCAATTGTTCTCGCTCTCAAGAAATTTCTCCTAAGTTGGATGTCTCTTTAACAAGTTCCCACCCACTACTTTTTTGTCGTGCCCTCTGGTTCTTTGGAGAATAAGTTGACTCCCTCTTTCTGACAGTCCCTCAAATACTGGAAGATAGTTATCATGCCCCCCTCGCCATTCCTTCTTTTCCTAGCTAGCTCACTCAACCGTTTGTCATACAATTCAGTCTGACGACACTCAACCAAATTCCACAAAGCATCCTTTTGTCCATCTCAAAAACGTTCTGATGAGCATTGTATTAATGAAGGTTGTGTCCTCCCGAAATCCGTAGGTCCTCATTTTGGAGTTCACAGTTCACAGTTCTAAGGGTCTTGTAAATCCTCCCTTTTTAAGGCATTGGATTAAATGATCTTCAGGGGGAAAAAACCCCGAGCTGATGGCATTTTTCTGACAGGACGTTGGAGTTTGCTACATTGGTTGGCTAGGAAAGAATAAAAAAACCATGCAGGCATGGGATTAATCAATTAATTAAGGCATCAGTGCAGGAAAGAGACCAACGTGGAAAGGCAAAACTTTTTGAAGTTGTGACAAAAGCAGAGCAGTGATAGGATCTTTCCCATTTACTGTCAATGTGCCATCGTTGTTTTTTTTTTTTGGTCCCTAACAAAAGGATGTAAAGAAGCTGTCAAAATATACTTTTCTTGCGCCAAAGACACGAATAATTTCACCGTTCTCTTTTACACTGGCTACAAGGATCGACCGCAGCTCTTTCCGTGTGGATTTGCTGAGTATTTTCCTGTATGAGAGGCAAAAGCTGTCATGTCACACCATGCAAAAAAGGGCAGCTGTGCCTGCTGAATGAATACAAATGACTTCTTGGCCATTTTATTTTATTTTATTTTGGCCAGAGATTACCCAAAAGAGTTTTCAAGAGAATGATACAATGCTTCAGATTTGATTCCAAGAAATGCATCTCTCTGCATCTCTCTTTAAAGCAGCTGCATCTTTTTCTGGGCTCGGAGCAAGCTGCCGTCGTCGAATTTAAAGAAACAACAACTTTGAAGAATTGCAGGCAGCTACAATCCTACTCCTGAACGCATGATAGACCCTTTCTCCAAATTATTTCCAAACCACTATCCTGTCATAGATTCTGACTGACGAAGTTCCACCGACAGTCCATCCTGCGAGAATTTAGTGCAAGAATTCCTTTCAAAAGTACCTTAGCCATCCAATATAGGGAATTTGCTTCTACACCACACAATCAGCCACACACTCTGGGCTGTGTGAATGCTGGCCTTGGAGCTTAAGAATCCTGGTTGATGATTTTCAATGTGTTGTGCAAGCCCAGCCAATTTAATGAAAACATGGCTCATTAAATAAACTGAGCTAAATGCAGGAGTGCCTTTTATTCAACTGTTGGAATTCTTCTCTCTGGTTTGTGTGGCCCAAAGGACATTCGCTGAATTCTTCCATATAGCCTGCTTAATGAAAAAGTTTACAGTGAAGGAGTTTTTGATATACAAATACCGAAACAATTTAGTTTGAAACGATACTGAGGTGCTTGGAAAGCAATGAACGACAATCCCAATGTATTAAAAGACACGTTTGGTTTTGCCGCCT